CCTTGGAACGAGCATACAACATAGCAAGACAAGCTGATGTGATCGCTGCTTTGTCTCTTGATGTTCTTAAAGGGACTACCAGAGCCTATGATCCAGGTACTTCGGCTTTATGTCACTCAGTTATTATATTAATATTGTGATTTACACAGATATTCACAAAATTCGTCCCCATAAGGGTCAAATTCGTTCGGCTCTACGGCTTCGTTCACTGCTACATTCAGATGCGAATCCATCTCAAATAGCAGGTAAATACTCTTCTTTTGGGTATGGGTGAGAGGCGTATATAAATGGAAATTGTTCAGAATCGCATCGAAATTGTGGTAAGGTTCAGGATGCATATACTTTGCGATGTGTGCCGCAGGTAACAAATCTTTCGATCTCAACTTTCACTTTCTGAAACGCAAAAAGAGATTTGCAAATAAGGATACTTTTGAGAACTGTATATATGTTGCCAATTTTACGTTAAATCACCCTTTTCCACTATTTTACCCTTAACCTTTGCACTGAGACTACTGTGTCCCTGTAGCTTTAAAGGTTAAAGCCACAGGTATAGTCGACATGACCTTATGACCTCACAGGTCTTGTTTTTTTCCCGAAAAATTACTTTGCCCTAGAGTTACATTTATCCTCAAAGGTAAGGCGCACCTTAGAACGTCCATAACAACCATAAAAGTTGTAGTCGTAAATGATTCTGTCTCTTTACTCCTTCACAGAATAAGATCGAAAACTTTCTTGAGTTAGGGAAAATTTTAAAAATCTTGAAAATGTCAGGTGCATGGAATTGTTCACGACACAATCGAATTTGTTCGTGAAATTATCACAACAGAAATGAATTCTGCTACCGATAATCCGCTAGTGTTTGCGGATCGAGAAGAAATCATTTCTGGAGGAAATTTCCATGGAGAATATCCAGCAAAGGTAAGAATTTCAATATTAAACACATAAAAATCATAAAAACAACTTTTGCAAAGAAGTTTATTATTTTTGCAAAGAATTACCAACTAGAACAATTACAGGCTCTTGACTACTTGGCAATAGCGGTGCATGAG